TACAGGTTTATTTTATTGTTTGAAAAAATAATGGCGACAAATTACCTATGTGTTTCTTTTTTCTTTAGTTCCAAGTTATATCGTTATATGATCGATATATAATAAAAAAAAAAAAATCAACATAGTAAACGATATCAGACATCATAGCCTTCTTTAATATTTAACTAATTATACATTCCGGTACCAATAAAATATTTATGTATTGTTTTCTGCTTTGGAAAAAAGTAAGCATCCCTTGTACAGCTTCCGAATATCTTTGGAAATTGAAATTATGACCCTAGAATTGTTTACAATTGAAGAACATAAATCAAAGATATTCCAATTCTAAACTTCCGAGACATTTTTAGATTAAAAGTAATGTTTATAAGGTCGGTACTTTCAAATAGCATCATTTATGAATTAACAAAATATATGGAATTACTAATGGTTTTTATGACTTTTTCTAATGTTCTAAATGATGATTGTGTTTTTTTTATATCTTTAATGTATATAAGTTTACTGTATTATTCAAGTAAATTATGTTTTTTATGTTTGCTTTGGGAAAGATTTTTCATAACATAACTTTTTGTTTGTATAAAAATTGAAGATCTAAGTGCAAATAAGCTATATATTATTCATACTTCTATATATACCCTCTGTTTGCGATAAAATGTCTCCTTTATATGTGGTTTTTGTTTTGTACTCGGATATACCTTTATCTGTTTTTACTAAACGGCAGTATAACATATAAGCATATTTTTATAAGCATATATAGAGAGCATCTTAAACTCACCAAAGACAGTGGTGTCTGTTGTTTGTTATTTTGATGCTTTTTTTAAAAATTTTATTGGGATGTTTAAGCGTTGACAGAAGCACATCTTGTATGAAGTGCAGAATCGTCAACAGATTTCAAGACAACCAAGCTTGTCTTTTTAGTCGTATCATTGATTAGTCTGCATATCAACCTTGCATATGTTAAAATCAAGGTGTAATCCCATAGATAAATTATCATTAAAGTGCTCTCTCGTTTTACTTCCTTTAGTACTTGTATTCAGGAAATTATTCTTCAGTAAGTCTTTGGTTCTTGGAATATCCATTTATTGGTAACTTCCTTTGTAACAAACATTTCGAATGATTAGGTCTCTTAAGTTTCATTATTGTTATACTAATTTCAATAAAAAAATATTTAAAGGATTTAGTGTTTTAATGGATGGATGGGTAGGGATTTTTTTAGGGGGGGAGGGGTTCGAGGCGAAGTAAATCCTTTCAATTCAAAACTTTCATTTTCTTAAATAGAAATATATATGCACCTTCAATGCACAAATACCCATCCTGTTTGTTTTCTTTTTAAAGAAACTGTTTATAATTTTACAATGTTTCTATCTTTCCTCTGAGATGGATGGTTAAGTTCATTACAATATTTTTTTGGTATGCTCTGTTTTTTCTCAAAGAACTTAACGTCCTGACATTGAGACTCGCGTCCGACGGGTTGAATTTATAAGGGGTGGAGGTATTTTTTTCCTGGTAAGAAATCCTGGATTTTCCACAGTGTAGGTTTCCTCTTAAATCAAGACTCCCCAAACAACAGTAAATTATCTTTTTGATCTGAACTGTCTTCATTTAAAATCATAAACTCTGACCTACTTACATCTGATAACATCAATGATTAGATAATGCTTACTCATTGAATGAAGGAATTGATGCTAACTATGACAAAGTTCGTGCAAATTAATGTACGTCTCCCAATGTAATTGCACAATGATTGAGTTTTTTTTTTTAGATATTAAAAAAAAAATATTTATGGAATGACTTAATAAAGATAATATAAATTTTGTCATAAATCCAAGGGTTATATGAGGTATATTTTACTGTTTGGTTTTTGGTAGTTATACAGGAGGTCTCGTAGTTACAAACTTTAAACTGAATCTGTTAGAAGATACACCTGTTCGATGCAACACGACTATACATTAGTCAATATTAGCATTATTTTTCAATAAATGATTAGTACTGAAATTAATGTCGCATTTCATTTTCCTTTTGATAAATGAAATGTTTGTATTTCAGAAGGTAATTTGAGGTTATTTTGTCCGTTCTTTTGTTCCATTATATGGGACTCTTACCTGATTTTTCAGTCAGGATTCAATACACAGATGACAAAACTGACAAATGACTGAGTGTTCCAGTTGACTTGCGATGTTACAGGTGGGCTGGTCCCAAGGTTGAGAGGGCTGGACAATCTTTGATCGATGAACCGCGTCAAATAGAATCTTTAGATACATCGCTTATGAGGCTTGAATTATGTTGTAAACTACTACTGAAGTTTGATATTTATGATACATAATTTTTGACGATGACTCCGTCATAAAATAACACTCGTTAAAAACTTTGTTAAAATTCCAATAAATTGTTTAAAATTAAAGGAAACGTTTACATAGAGACAGAGTGGGGACAAGTCATCCCTAGACAGCCACAGTCTCAATATTTACTAACCTGTTTTAATTCGTGCGGTTTTCTGACCATCCGGATCAGTGAAGATCACCGACCCGAGGTGCCACTTGTTTAATTATCATGGATTTATCCACAGCTTACCGGTATCATAATCCAAATATAAATATGATGGATTTTTATCATTCTTGTAAGAGTAAGTTAGAAGTTCACTACACTTTAATGGGTTAATTGTGTAATCTATTTATTCTTTAATGTATTAAAACAGGAGGAAAATACCCTGATATTTACATGAAAATAGAAATGCTTAAAACATTGAAATTGAATCAACCATTTGAAATATTGTGAATAAATAAAATAATAAAATAATATAATTATTTATTTTCTATTAATTGAAATATTGACTTTGGCTAGTAATAACAATCACGAAATAATGGAGGTATTTATTGTTTAAAAATATTGACGCAAGTAGTATGTTTAAAGAGCATAAAAATGATATACCTTTATCTGTGTAATAGTGAAATTGATGATTGATACATCATGGTCTTTAACTTCATGCATATTTGACGAAAGGTCCCGAGCAGCAACTGAACCTTAATACTTATCTACCTGGATTAACGATTGTTTTACCTCGAGGTGTAAAATTAACTTTTCCGGACTATCGCGCACAAAATTAGTTTGATATCGACATGAAAATGTACACACGACTTGTATACAGTTGGTAATAGTGCGGAACCTCTCTACCATCTTCCCTTACATCATGACATCCGAGCGGCGTGCAGTGGCCGGATCAAAGCACATGAACTAATATTATTGTGATCATTGAAATATATAAGAACAAGCATAATAAAAGTTTACACGCCATGATGCTCCGTCGATTAAAATACGAATTTTTGCCAGACTCAAAACATATCTAAAAAATTTAGTCTCGGACAGTCTGTTAAAATATATCCCTGTATTTTTTTTCCAAATTGTAATTTGAAAAAGTGATAATTTATTCAGTTGACATTAAGTGGATGGTCAGAAATGTTCAAAGGAATATTTGAATCTATAAACCCATTGGCATACCCTGCTGGACATAACATTATATCTCTGTGGGCTTCAAACATTAGCCGTCTGTAACAGGAGATTTTTTGTAAGTAGCCAAAATAGGTTTCAAATAACTAGAAAAATGATGTTTTCTTTTTCGTCTAAGAATTGATATGTTAGAATGTTGGAAATCGCGAAATTTATCACAATCCTTGACAACTTCTGTTGCCTATAAAAATTACATCTAACGACGATATGTGCACATCTTTATAGGTTCATAGAGTAGAATTATAAATAAAATTATTATTTTTTTTAAATATTCAATGTGACAGCATTGTCAAGAAATGAGGACAAACTCTTTTTAACACATGGGATTGAATAACATATTTTGTGGGGTGTTTAATGATGTTTGTAATTATAAAATTAGCAAAACTTACTAATTTGGTATACGGTGCATCAGCTGAATGAACAAGGACATTGACAAGAAGATGGTAGCATTCTTGGACCTGTTTGAGTCATTCAAATCCTGAATTATATACATATGAATAAAAGGCTTTGTGCAAGCTTAAACAGTATATAAAAGTGAAGAAAGGTTAAATGTTCAAATTATGAATTCAGATTGTTAATAATGATGTCAAATTGAGAGATATATTTTTTACTGTCTCTTTGATAACAAGGATGATTATCTTCTGATCACAGCCTTCTGAATGTTGGTGTATAAAATAAAATTGACAAAATAACAATTAGAATTATCTTTGACATTTCGTCCGGAACGTGTGAGACAAAAATAAAAATAAGTGGAATTTATACGTGAAACAATCAGTTATTTGAGAACAAACTAATTATCTCATATTTAAAGTTTTGAATTGTTTTAAGGACTTCAAATTCAATTTAAGTTGGAAATGACTTCGCCTGATCACAACAGTGATCGGTGCGCTTGACTGGTCTCCGTTTCTAATGAATCTATAGACCGCATGGATTGCTCACTGAACCCTCACTTCAAAATAAACCTATTGCGTTGAAGGGTCGCTACAATAATAACAATAGTAGTGTTAAACAGGTACCCGGGTTTTGGTTCACACACATATCCCATAACAGAAGAGATATCGCAACCCTGACTATCGGACGGTTTATTAATTAGCGAACCATGCAAAACACGTGGCCGGGGGCATATGGACCACCCTCCCATCTAACCTACCAGCTTCCCCCTCGCCACACTTATGATGTATTTGCTGGTAATTACGATGCCTTTGCAGGTAAAATATTATATAAACATTTTATTGACATTTTTTCAGCTTTACATATATCAATCTTTTTTTCAGATGAGTGTTTGGAAGTATAACAATTTAATTTTTCCGATAATGTTTTATGTTTTTGATACACCTTTAATCAAAATAAACGTTTGTACCTTTTGCATTCAGATCTTTTTTGACTTGTGTTTTTGTGTGTGTCAATAATATTCAAAGTTTAACTAAAAACAACGGCGAACTTTATAATTTATCCATGCCATATTTTAACTATAAATAACGATTAACTTTATATTACAGGTCATGGTGGAGTAAACCAACTTGGAGGAGTATTTGTCAATGGAAGACCATTGCCTGATGTTGTGCGACAACGAATTGTTGAACTTGCTCATCAAGGAGTACGGCCCTGTGATATATCTCGACAGCTCAGGGTCTCCCACGGATGTGTCAGTAAAATTCTTGGCAGGTCAGTAGTCCATTTTCTTCCATCATGGTGTTTTCATGGGTAAAGGTTCGGTAGCGTGGACCCGAGTAATTTGGAGAAAAAAAATTGTAAAACGTGAATGAAGGAAAATTCCCATTAAGCAGCTTCTATTTGTGGTTTGAAAATATTATTCGGATTTTTAGTATCATACTTTTTTTATTTTATTTTTTTAAAAACATAAATATTAATTTCTCTAATCTCAATTGAAACATTTGAAATGATCATAAATATATCTTAAGAAAAGATTTCTCCTATTACTGATGTTTTGTTAAGATATTTATTACTTAAAAAGTTCTGTTAATTTTTTTACCCAATGACTTATTTTTTATAAGTTTACTACAATACAGTACATTAGCAAATTTAATATTTTAGATTTTCTATTTAGATACATATATTTCGAATACATTAATACCATGTAGCGGATGTTGACAGTTTTATTTATCCATTAAATAAAATGCCATTATTGTAAAGTTAATATTTTAAAGAATATTTTAGACATGATAAAACCAAATAATATTTATTTCTGTTAATAGTATTTTCAAATAAAAAGCTCGTATGCAACAAACAATGCTATTTATAACTCTTTTCGGAGCTTACCTAATATAAATTCAGCTAATAGTGTTCGACTTTGATTGAAACGAAGCGTTGAAGATAGTAAGACTGACCAATTATGTTTTTTGTTAATTATACATAAAATCAAATCCATTTTTTAACAGATCTTTTATTTAAATTAAAAAATACAGGATGAAGCTTATTAAAAAAAACAGAAAAAAAACATGCACTTTATACTAAATTATAACCAAAAGAACCGCAAACAGTTGACTTTAATGAAAACTAAAATCAGATAAACTGTAATGTTTTTAATACCGACAGAAGTGCGATTTTATATTCTCTATGTTTATGTGTAAATCAGGTTTCCAACATTGATACCTAATAAAACATCAAATTAATGGTTTTCCTTTTTTTCTTTATTGGCAACAAATATTACCAGTTAAAAATACAGTGTCATTGTTCATTATAATTTTGATTATATTTTGTTCATTTAAGCAAATACAATATATCGATACGTGACACTATTAAAATAACAGTAAATATTTAGTCTATTCATATCAAAGAGTCTATTATTGTACGGCGCTGTGCAACCGCCTAACGATAATATTTTTTCTATCTATCAATAGTAGTTCTGATTGTTTTGATTTGAAATGCAAATTGGGTCCAAGTGTTTGCTATAATATCGATAACTGCATGGAAATATTTTTTTTATTGAACGGATCAGTGAGACATTCAAATGTACTAAATGGCCACTTTTGATATTGAAATTTTTCTCGAACTTATGAATATAATTAGGGCATTATTATTTGTTAAGTGTTTGATGTATTTTTATCCAAAGCAGCTATTCCGGAAAGGTGGATAATAATTTTCTGATGGCACAATTTTCCAATCATTTGAATCAGAATAAAATTTAAAGGATGTTAATTTTCCCCCTTAAATACCATCCTCGCAGTGACGGTATTTATTTCTTTTCCTTCCGATATTTTGATTTTCAAAACCAAAGTCCTAAATTAGAGGTGAATTATGAGCAGCCCAGTAACAAATTAAGCGGACAAAGGGATAATTACTGGATAGAGAGGGACATAGGCTCCATTCATAAAAAGACAGGTTTATGACCGATGTACTAAGGATTAACATGCGTTTAAATTGTTAGAAGAAAATAAAACATACTGATCACGGATAAGTACGTACTTTGTACCCCTTGCCCCAGTACCCTCTACCTCACAAGATAAGTTTTAATTTATCTTCCCCAATTATATGAATTAACCGACCAATGCGTTATTCTTCATCGACGAAATGCAGTGTTGTTTTACAAATTCGACTGTTCAGCCCTAATCTCAAATCGCTATCTTCTTTCATTGATACATACACTGAATTAAGTTTGAATAAGACAAGAAAAGAGCGTTTTTCATGGCCATTGAAGAGCATCGAACTAGCTTCCTGAACTTAACACGTGCTTAATTATGCGCAACAATAGGAACATAAAGCACTACTGTTAAATGAATATTTTGGAAACATTTTACCTGAATAGACCTTGATTGCTAGAGGGGTATATTTATGGTTATCCTCATCTTCAGCAACTCGTGATGTATCCTCGTCCATCCTGCAGGTAAATAAAGGGAGGGTTCCAAAACTTTCTTAAATGGTAAAAATCAATTAAAACAATAGATCAAATTCAAGGGTAGTTATTCCATTGTAAATTACCTTTCATGATTTTCCGAAATAAATGAAAATTCATTGATTGATTTTTACCGATTAACATATTCACAAAGTGTTGTGTATTACTTATACGATTCATTTTTAAATAGAAATAAATAAAATTGGCGATGAAGTAAATAACGAGAAAGTAGACATTGCATATTTTACAAACATATAGACAAAGGCTCTTTGCATAGATTTTTAAAAAGAAAAATTAAGGAAGTAAAATGAACGTTTACGATCAATTTTCAGTGATGACTGTTTATTTGATCATTTTCTTTGTATGTTATTTTTGACTGTTCTTATTTCAGATATTATGAAACTGGTTCTATTAAACCAGGCGTGATAGGAGGTTCAAAACCAAAAGTAGCAACACCCAAAGTAGTGGATGCAATAACTCGTTATAAACATGAAAACCCTACCATGTTTGCTTGGGAAATCAGGGACCGACTGCTGTCTGAAGGAGTCTGTACATCAGAAAATGTCCCAAGTGTTAGCTCAATCAATAGGTATGTATCAGTAGACCATACTTTGAATTGAATTGCATTTTTTTGTGTGAACCGTCAAAGGAGCTGACAGGTCTGGACACATCACAAAATTGTATTCCTAACATGTAATGCCTAAATGAATAGCTTCCAATTTTAATGGTGATTTTACTATACTTTTTCATTAATAAAAGGAAATGTATTAATTAAAAACTTAGTGTACAATCCATCTGTTGCCAATGCACTTTCCACACATACTGTTTTGTGTCTCCACACCTTAAATTAATTCCTGAAAACATGTTTATGTGTTTTTAGATTGTATGATGATACTTTCATTTGTGGTGCAATGAATGAAATAGTTTGCGAGCTTTACATGTAATTTTTAATTACCCCCTCCCCATTTGTTCCTCCAGAACCTGTTTGTAACTGTAAAATAAAAAGCAAAAAGTGTCACGATAGCACTTACAGTGTTAAACGTGAGTTCTGGTCACCCATATAACCCCTTTCACAGTTTTCCAGCTTGCATTTTTTATTTTGTGGAATATTTGTACACATTCTAAAAAAAGTTTACCAAAAATACCAAACTCAAAGGTAAATTCAAAAAGGGGGAAGTCCATAACAACTGGCAAAAATAATCGAACCGTTGGACTTTATCAACCTACAGAATGAATGGAAAACAACTGTCATATTCCTGACTTGGTACACACTTTTGCCGAAAAAAATGGAGGGTTAAACCTGGTTTATAGCAAGTTAACCCCCCCCCCCCCCCCATTAAGGTGTGCATACTGTCAGGATTGGTATGTTTGTTTGTTATTGATTTTAAGAATGAGTGAATCTAGTTGATATTTGTTAGATTTGCAGCATGGTGTTCTATTTGTCCACTCATTTCCTACAATTTTCAAACTAGAAAGATTTATTTTGTCGAATATATTCTTTTTTTGCTAAATTTCCTCCTTCCAGGGTAGACACAATCTTATTTTGTTTGTATCTTATCTTGTTTGTATACATGGTTTATACTTTACATATTGTCAGTATGAGTTTGGTTTATTAATCATGGAACTGTAACTGAATTTTGTCCTCAATAATGTCTTTTCTATGCGAAGCATACAGGCATCACATTTGTCAAGCTTGTGGACATTTGCTTTTTTTGCTGAAACGTTCTGTAGAAGCATTTTATTCATTTTCTAGCTTGACAAAATTATTTATATAAAATGTTGAATTATTGCTTAAAAATCACATTTTTTAAAAGCAATGGCAATAAAATATTTTGAATCCGTTATAGAAAAAGTTACTTATTATTCGACTTTCTTTTCTTATTTACTTTCATTCTCGTCTATGAGTGTCACTAAAAAAATCAATCAGTTTGTTTTGTGTATGGGCAGAAGGTATTCACTGTATATTACACATTTGTCTCCATTTTCATTCTTGGAAAAATTAAAAACAAACTGTTTTTGACTAATGCTGAAGTCTCTTAGAGCATTTCAATTTGTTTTTGGTCGGATATTTTTATTTGAATAAAAACTCATCATTGAATAAAAACTCATCAAAGATACCAGGCTTATAATTAATATTACAATTCTTGTTACGTGTGAAACAGAAGAATTTGAAGCATAATGACAAAACAGATATCTGTCATAAAACAATTTTATTGACACTTGCATGGTTAAACGATTTAACATGTTCTATTATAATTATATAAACAGTTAAATAGTGTACTTATTTTTTTATGTTCGAGCATATACACTACCATCGTTTCTGAAAAATGGGGTATGCTAGTATGTGATTCCAAGATGACAATCTGATGATAAAGTGTCGTCTGCTAACTTCAATTTAATGTATGACCCATATAATCTCTAATTTAGAAATTGAAATAATGCACAAAATATCTACTATACGTTACTTGCACAAGAAAAAAACCCGAGGAAGTTATTCCAGCCTTATAGGTGTAGCCTGTTGTGTCAAGTTGATAGTCTTTAGATGTTTGCATACAAATTTACTATTGCAATGAAGCAGAACTTGTATTGAGAAGTTGCACCAGCTATACCGATCGTCTAGGGAATCTCGCGGAGACATTGCCTTTGAAATCAAAACTTCGGTCTGGAAATTATGTAGTTAATATTTGTAAAACACACGCGCTAGGTCGCGGGCATTTATTGTGTCATGAAGATTGCCTAACCTAACCGTTAACGAATAAAACAAACTCATTTTGTAAACATTCTAATTAGTAGTACACATTTAACGTAACAACAATCCATACATCAAAGCAATCACAAATCGCTTAAGACCACCATGGTTAAAAAATTAGGAAGATGAAATAGAAAGTATATATCATAATATATATTCCACACTATGCTGTACTCAAGTAGTGTTCAGGTTCATATGTATATATACCGCCTATATATTGATACAAAAAATACCTTGGTGAGTCGAACAGTAACTTCATGTTTGGAAAACTAATAAAGTTTCTTTGAAATAAAGACGTTAAACAAATATTGACGAAAAGTTATCAATGATCACTTTCTGAAATTTTGTTAACAAGATGATTATTAATAACAATAAATAAACTATGAAAATGTTTTCATTAATATTTTTTATCTTTAATATTGAGGTAACATTTCCACTCGTTCCGTTTGTTTGATTTTGTCAGTATTTGTGGACTTCCCTTTTTTGAACTTACATTGGAGTTCGATATTTTTATTATGCTTATTTTTAGATTAGAGTAGATTTCAAGCCAGTTAAAAAGAACAAAATGTGAAAATAGGAAGAAAACTCCATTTACCAAGCTCATAATTTTTCTACTTTGAAGCTTTACGTAAAGCTTAAATGTCTTTTGATTCCTTTTCTGTACTTTTGAAGATATTGGGATTGTTTGAAATATAATAAATCCTTTACTTTTTTTTTCAGAAAAAATAAATAACTCATTCATATTTTCTATAATCTGTCAAGCATCTGGCCCTAAATGCATACGCATCTTTCCCTCATCCTCTGTTGTAATGAAAGGTACAGAATAAAAGAAAGATTCTTAATTTCAGTTTTGTTAACGTTGATTTCTCCCCCATCATTCACTGACAGTTTAATTTGCCAGTAATGGAACGATATCAACAAACCATGGAGCGAGGCCATTACGCCACTTGTCGTCATTATAGCTAAGGAAAATTTTCATTACAGTTTTATTATTTCAACTCGCTATTATGAGAGAATTTGTCAATTTTGCTGCTTCGTTTATCACATATTAAAGCTATACACAGAGAAAATGGCAAAGGACTGTGCCACAATTATAAGTCAGCCAGGCGGAAGTGTACCACATAAATGCATTTTCTGACTGAATTTGACGTTGACCTTACAGCTGTCATCAATTCAGCCTCTGTCTTCTTAGTATGGTCAGAGTTATATTAAATGAGACTTAGATGAAATCCTATATTAATACTTGTTTTTTATTAATAACTAGTAACTATTAAAAAAATGTTTTTATTTTTAATATGCATCGTTATAGAACTCCTCAATTTTCCTCTTGTTTTTTTTTCAAATGCTAGTATCGTCACATTTTCAAAACATTGTGTTTTGTGTTTATATGTAATTCTAGAAATCGTTCAGAATAATAGAATGCAAAAGAAACTCAAATGAATAATACTTGATTTTTGTTTACTTAATAATATAAAAATCATTAATTTGTACTTCAAATATATTCTCTGTGTCATTTATAGAAAATAAAAAAAAGTTTTAAGCACCAGCTGGTGGAAAAATTTTTTTTGTACTTTAGTTAATTTTAGGAAAAATAGGGCGGTGCGTACACGGAAATCTATATTGAACATAGGGAATACCGATGTTATATAAGAAAAAGAATCAATGTATAATCTAATAAAAAAATTCCGCAACTGATGATGACCAACTAGAAACGAAAATTTAATATTTTGTCTGTGTTATAAGTCTAAGTATCAATAATGCACGTGTATAACATTGACTTCATTAAATTTGAATGCAGATATACCTCCATTAATGCCCGGTCATGTTGCTGTCTCCCATGAGGAAACATTCTGTAAGAGATATATAATTAATAATGCAACAAAATTGTTTCAATATAATATTAGTACAAACTTTGTTTTGTTTCATTGACAGCAGTATAAAATTTTAATCGAAGTTATTAATTATTTTAGCGAAAATTTGTGTTATGAGTAAGCAGATTGCATTGAACAACATTTATCGAGCGGTAATAAACATAAACTTGCATGATGCTGTAAAGATTGTTAAGGTTCCGAAAAAAAAATATTACGGGAGAAAATTTCTGTAAATGTTACTATACAGTTAAGAACCGAATTATAAGAAAAACATGTTACAAATACACACAGACAAAAATGTTAGATCGCCATTTACATTGAGGTTCTTTCATTTTAGAAAATTTATAACTATATTATTATTTATTATTGGAATGTATAATTATCAAGTCAGCTTCATAGAAAATAACCTCAAAATTGGTGTACCTATTGTATGGCAATGAATAGCAGTGCAATAGACACTGTAACTGACATCTTGCCCTCGAATTGGGATGTGATTGTTGTGTTGTCAGTGTAGAAGGGAAATAAAATGGTATAATTGCTTGTAAATTTGAAACTGTTTCGAGGTTGCTTGCGTGCCTAATCACCATTACGACTGCAAAATGAAAATACAGTATAGGTTACGCTTAGTATTGAATTTTTATGAAGAATCATTGGGTACATCGATTAGAAAAAACCGGGTGTGTTGTGATTCGAGTTGGGGTGAAACGGGTGCACTAAGTTGTTTGGTACTGATGGTGTGCATCCAAGTGGATGAGATCATATGACAAACCACACACTATTATACCAATAGAAATTATACAGTTGAATTGGTCTATATCATCCTTCTTACAACTTTATTTCAGCATATCCTCTTCAGTTCATGTATATTTCGTGCTTACTCGAATTTGTTTGAATAGGTCGATTCGGTTGCGTATATAAAACAATGCAAAATAGTCTATAGAATAGAGTTGCTCTTTCGTTTAATGTCTGCATTATTTGCAGTCCCATACGTTTTGAGTTAGACTAACAGCAACACAGTTTCCTCTTAGATATCTTACATATTTTTATCCCAAACAGTTTTAGAAATTCTTTCGATATTTTGTGTTAAGGTTTTCTGCTATAGCTCGAAACAAAGGGTTCTAAAACTTGGCAAGCAATTTTAATTAGTAGTTGTAGAACAATAACCCTCATGCTAAAACAAAGAAGGACATAGTTTAATACCACATGGAAACTTTTCATTGTGCCTTTCCTTAAGATCATATGACTTCGTTGGAGAGTGTCAGTTAATTTTCAAAAGATATTCGATTGTCATAGGTCAAGTGTTTCTTTGTACTATTGTCAAAAGAAAACCATTTACTTTTTAAAGTATAGATAAGATTAATTTATCGTTTTCTTCTTAAATGTTTTGACAAAATACAAAACCTTCTTGGTTTTTCACCTTGGTGTAGAAAACAAAAGTGTTGGTTTTTGAAACCGAATCTTTGACTCAGCATAACGTGCACGTATTTTGCATTTTTGCCTTTGAACCTGTAAATTTTTGTGATTGAAGGTTGATTAAATCGATTATGATAAAGATCAAGTTTGTTAAATACTTAAACAGTAAAAGCCATTATGTGAAACTAACACTTCCAATTTCTTATAATTTTAAACTGCCACACATTCAAACTATTGTTAAAACAAATATAATATTAACAATAAAACATAAGTTGATATTATCATTTTTTAAACATTGTATAACTCATTGGGTTTGAATATAATTTTTAGCTATAAATTATAAACAATAATACACGTTTTTTGTTCGATTTGTCAATTAAGTATTTGTACGTTTTGTCGCAAATTCTGGTTGAATTTCATATCTTGTTGATTAATTTCTACACATGTCAAAATGAATTTGTAATTTTTATTTCCATAAAAAATTACGATGATAGTTATTTTCCTGAGTAGTCCATGATTTTATAGTAATTGAAACATTGACTGGTTTGAAACGTGAATGGTTTCTTCATTTGTGGTATCGTCGCTTGTTTTACACTGGGGAGAATTTCCGTTCTGCATCATTTTAAACACGTAAAAGAGACGTTTTCTGATTTATTACCCACGGATTTGAACAAAAACTCATATTTTATCGAATAATAGGAATATAACGTAATGTTATCACTGTTCTTAGATATGCTCGTCTTTCATCCTCTTTCACCAATCTCAAAGAAAAGATAAGAATGTTACGACATACTGAAGGGCACCAGACAGTGTTCTGTATGCGTCAATCTCTTGTGAATACAACATGGTGGTTCTTTAATAATGAATTCATTCATACCAACATCATTGACTGCAAAGTCTACAGGAAATATAAATTCTATTAACTGTAATATTTCTTTTTTAATATATTTCGTTGGTTTAAAAATGAATATCGTCCTTCATATAGAAAACTGTGATGACCAATTATTGCAAATAGATACATACATATCTTAGAAGTATTAGTTGTTGAATTCATTTGGCTCCAACAATAGTTTGTCTTATTTGCTATATTGCAATTCAGTTTTTTCCTATCTGTCTGTCGTTACCCTTCTCATTTGAAAACAAATTTAGATAGATCATGTGAAATTAATGAACTTTTCATTTATTTTAGGATTGTTCGAAATCGTGCTGCTGATAGTAATCGATCTATAGACCAAAAGAGTCCACCGTTACCAAATGAAGCACATAGCCCATCGATGCCACATTCAAATTCTCCGAACGGAGATGCGATGCAAAGAGCAGGAACATACTCAATAACAGGAATACTTGGAATTCCACATCAACCACCTCAGAACATGTCAGACCCAAATGCCATCAAAAGGAAAAGAGAAGAACAGCAAGGTAAGTTGCAATACGAAAACCTTTTACAAGAATGAACTCTTTTTGTTCATACTTGTACTGGAATATTGTTTGATACTCAACTTAGTTCTTTTAAGCCATAAATTTACACGGTTTTATAGATCTTAATATGTATAAGAAGATACATTTTTGGGCTATTATGTTCTATTACACTTTTCATGTATTTTGAAGTATTATGCTTTGTGGGAATTCATTTTAGAATTTATGGAAAACATTTCCTTTAGGTTTGTGAATAATGTCTGGGCAAGCAAAATCATGTGAGAACGAAAACAAAACAAAATTAACAGAAAAAGAACAGGTTATCAGTTTAGGTTTTTTTCCTAAGACAAGATGAGAATCAGTTTCTATATAACAACATGTCCAGATGAAAGAGATAGGAAATTGTAAGACAAGAAACGCCTCCCTCAGAGATATCAGATAGTTTGTCCAAAACAATACCTGCAATCAATTGAATAAAGACCATACCATAGTTTTGTTGATTTGTTTGCCATCACGCTAGAGTTATCAGACAATCTCCGAGGACAAATCTTACGCTTAGTCGGAGGGCATTGTTTCTATTAGAACAGCATTGTGAATTTAAACTCGTATGTCACTGCTATAAAATAAATTAATCATCAAAAGGTTTGCTTGTAACAAAGGCATGCCGGGTAGCTATGGTCCCAGTTAGGTTGATGAAGTCAGATGCTATCTTTCCTGGATACCTGAAAATCATCTATTGAAGAATTAATTGATTTTTAAATAATTCATAAACAGGTTGCAAGTTGTTTGTGACAAATATAAAATTAACAAAGATAGCAAAAAAAGATGCTTAATTTACAAATTTTTAATGACAAGGTATATTATTTATCCGTTTATTCCAATATGATGCGAATATGAAGCCTCTTTTCAAAGATAAAATCAGCAATTAAGGAAATGCATTTTTTATTTTTAATCCGAACAAAACAAAATTGAAATAAAAATAAGCCTGTAATTTTTAAAATGTTTCCATTAAATTTCAATTGCTTAAAAGTACTATTGAATCATAAAGAAACCCTAAGCATACACCTGTCAGAATTGCTACCTGAATCTTAAAAATATCAAATAACTGATTTTGTTTAGATTTCGATACTTTTAAATTATTTTCTTTTTTCATTAATCAAAAATACCTAAAGTTAACTGAAATAAATATGAAATATAGTGTAATATTTTAAAACAAATGATTTATTCATCTTATAGTGAGCATATCAAGTTATTAGATATAATAAAGTGTATTTATTAAACCAGTAATTTAGGCGTTGAATGCCATTTGTTTTGATTGAAATCGGAAGATTTCAACCCAAACTGTTAATTCAATGTTTTTAAAGCATATCCATCCTTTAATGAATCAATCGATCAAGCTGAACAACTTATGCATTCTTGTGTAATGGACCCACATTTATACGTCTTTTTCACCGTTTTTTCATCACTTTCTTTATAAAGCAACCAGCCATTCAGCTGTTAGAGTCTTTTGTCAAATAGAATGCAAGTCATTTGGCTGATAATGTATAAAATTTTACAGCTACGTTGTGTTAACAAGCAAATAAATATACAAATCAATGATGTGAAAATCTACAACTCATCTTATTTTATTGACTTCATTAGAAGGCGTAAACTTCTTTAGTAAACTATAACAAATTTGTGCAACATTTGGAAAAAATAAATATGAAAAGGATCAAGGTTCATTAGGTTTAAGAATTGTATTTGCAAATAAGAAAATTAAGCCCACACATAAATAGAAATATGGTTAATATTAAAACATAGTTGGCTATTTTTCACTATTAACGTAAAATAGATACTATTACACCGTTTTTTTCATCGTGAAGAAGTCCGATTAGGGTTGAAGACGTCTTGATATATAGATAAATTGTGTCTGTCGGTAGCTGTCTCATGGGCGTTGACCATACATCTCCTTTTATTGATACTTTCTGCAATATGTTAATGTTATTCAAGAAAAACGTGTACTGATATTATATAATACGATTTTTTTTGATAAAAAAATCGAATAAAAATGACATATGCTAAGACATGTTCCTGCACATAAAGATGGATATTTTATAAAGTTGAAACTATATTTGATTTTACAAATGAAATGGCATTTAAATTGAATAAAATGATATGTCGGGTATGTGCAAATGAGACAAGAATTAAACAGCATAAAACAGTTGACACTTTTAAAACTAGCATAGTTAGACATCAACGAGAAAATAAAAAAAGTCTTTTAAACATGTATTCGTACTTGTTCATTTTAATGATAAATCATTTACCAAGGAATGCAGTTTATTTATTTGTAAAAACAAAATTGGATGCCTCCTTTGGACTTTTCTCTTGCAAAGACATTGTCTGTCAATGCAAGATATATGATGACAAAAATTCGAAGTGACAAGTATAAATAATTGTGTAAATCTTACAAAGAACATAACAATAAATTAAGACGGTTTGTGTAGCATGTAAAGAAGCAGTCACTCAGTGGTAATTCAATCATTATAATGTAGTTACTATTATAAATTATCATGGAAGCAACTAATTCTCTAAATCAGATTGCTTTGAACATATACACTTCCAGACTGGCTTCATTAAGACCTTTATATGTTGTTTTATTAACTTCTTTCCATTGCAGTAACAAGATTTGTCTCTTTTTCTTGTCGTTAAAAAGGAACAACTCTTGATTGTGTCAGTGACTTAATGCGAATCACTTCCGGTAATCTGGTATTCATTTCGTGTGTTAGCGATTGCAGGATGTTTTTGGCAATTTTCTATTATGATGCATCGATAATCCTCTGGTCTTATTATTGGAAACACGAATTGAAGAGGAAATTAGAAGCAATTGAAAAAATCAAAAACAACTTAATAAGGCAATCAAATGGTTATTCTAATAACTATATTTTAGGATTGGAATGTCATCTGTAATCCTAAATCTTTGTGCACTAAGAATTTGTCATGTTTGACGTTTTGCAAAGTTAAAAGAAACAAAAGGATATAAGTTTTGATTGAAATGTTCTGGTGTAAACCCCGTGGTCGGGGTCATGTTGGCCATATTTTTTTATTTTCTCTGTAAGCTGTTATTTGCATTGGTATTCTTTTTTCCTGTTAGGAACATGTACCATATCCTTTGCTATTATATTTTAATTTAACCCCTTGTATGTTCTATTTGATTAAGCAAATTGAGATTATATTTATTTTCTTTTTGCTACCTTGTCGACTCGACAAATATTGCTCTGTGGTTTTTAGTTCTTGCAAATCCCTGAGTTTTGTTTTATATTGATATGTATACCAAAAATTAAAAATGAATTTTACGAGTCTTGAACATCGGTATACTACTGTTGCCACTACTTTATACTATCTTTTCAGATGTATAATTTGATGATCAAATCATTAGGAAAAACAATGTACATAAGGATCAAGTTTTGTCTATTTTATGTTTACTCATTTAGAGGATTATTAATAAATGTTAATTATTTGATCTTGTATCTTACAGTCAATGGACAACATGAAATAAAAACAGAACCACCTACTGATAATAACCTTGATGTAAGTAGAATATTTGAAAATTTATACTGTTTTAACCTTCAATGATTTCTAAATATATATTTTGCTTTGCTGAATTGATTTTTTTAATATTCTTTTTTTTTATCTCTCTTTTTTTGTTTTTATAAATAAGCAATCTATTTAACTTGGTCTTTATTTTTTTCATTATTATATTTTATAATCTCAGATGTGGTATGCAACAGCCCGTCCTCCATTAAAAATTGCAAGACCAGAAAATGGCAACTTGGATGCACCTCAAATTCTGATGAATGCAGCAGGAGCACAATTATTTAACACAGCCGTCACAATTCACCCTCCTTCATACAACGTCAACGCTCAATTCATTACTACGACCACTGCTGGTGGAGAGATGAAATTGTCAGAATATAGCATGCCTTCACCTGCCACTTCAAACGTTACACAATCAGAGTCACAAATTCAAGGTCAACCTGCAAACTACGTTACATCATTAGGTATGCTTACTAAAAATAGATGGTCAAGGTTCAGTGTATTGTTATTTACTAATACTAAAGAGATTATGTGGGAATGTATATGTAGTTAACAGCAAAATGTTTCAATTTATTTTCTTTTTTAAATATTTTATTCTTCCTATTAACTCTTTAAAATGTAGGAATGTTTTTACTTTGAACTATTTACATTGAAATATATTTTCTCATTTTGAGTATGTTTTTTTTTTAAAGATGTTTAATGCTTACTTTATTGCATGGTATTTAGAATAGAATTTTGTTTACTTTTCGAGGGCCAACCATGTCCGAAAGTTCATCACTTGACATGAAACCCATTGTGATCACTGTTAGGTCAGATAGCAATGTTCAGGCGGCTCAAACAACATCAATTGAATACGAAGGTAGATGTGCTTTCTAAATTCTTTTTTTTTGAAAAGATGTTCCTTTCTTCCTTGTAATGTTTGTTTGTCTCTTGTAGCAGTACTATATTTCTTCTTGTAGTTCTTTTTAATGTACACTTCTCAAAGAAAACGAGAAAATTATTTGTAATTAACAAAGTCCTATCATTTGATAAAAATTGAGTGATTTTGTATGAGCCAGCTTATCTTGTCCTGTACGCGTAATTTTTCACAGATAAAAGCAGAGTTTTCCGGTATCTTGAGATAAGGTTGAAAATTGATTGAACAATGCTTCAGTGAATTCACAAAGTTCTTTTGATACCTGACATATTCGTTGTTTGCCTCAGCATAAGCTTTCTTGATAGCAGTTGATAATGATTTGTCAAACACTAGTAGGAAAACAATTTAATTATGGATTCTCTTCAATTTAATTGTTTATGGCTTATGAGAAAACACTTTTTCATTAATTAATCAATAGACTTTCTTTTGATTGCTGAATGTATGAAGAATTACATTTTAATTAGAACTTTAAAGACAAATGAAATATTTAGCTTCAAATATATTTGAGAGTTAGAAAAAACATTTTTGCTGGAATTTATATTTAAATGTAGAAAGATATATTGACCTTTTGCATTTTGTTCTGTCCTGCTTAACCTAATTTTTTGCCAGCTGTTGTATATTGTTTGTTTTCCTCTGCATGTTGTCGTTTTCCCATTTTCAGCGAACAACAATAACAATAGTAACAACACTACACCTCCCCCTAAGCCTGGTACACCTTCAAGCAATGAGGGAAACAACCTGACTGAACTCAAACCCGTTCAACCCACACCCCAGTCTTATACGCCGTTGCCATCGTTTACCGGACAGTTTTCAAGTAAGCATGATTTTTTATTTATTTGTTAATATTTTTATCTTTATATGTATAAATACTGCATTGTAGTTTCGTGTATAGAATTTTAGAACAGTTTAGATCATATAGTCGATTTAAAGTCTGAGTTTTAGATTATTCTAGCTTTCGCTTATTCGGATCAGTACTTACACATTAAGACAGATGATACTCTTGTAGCTTTCAAATATTATTATTTATCTGTTATCCTATCACTGAATAGCATATTTTGTAAGCATAAATATATTTATCAATCAGGAGTAAAGTAATTAGTATTTAATTCTAAATTGGTGTCTTTGTAAATTTGCTAATGCTGATTAAAAGATTTTCTCCTATTGATTAACGCTTCAAATATTTAAATTTCATCAATTGCATTAACATTTGCTATGTAAAGATTCAAACTTAACAAAAACAAAAACATTTATCAATACCAAACCTCCATAAAAAGTATGTACTATTTTGGCTAGTGAATATTAAATTTACTATAATCATGAAAAGGTAAAGACAAAAGTAAAATAACAAAAATACCAAACTCCAAGGAAAATTAAAAACAGAAAGTTCCTTATCAAATGGCAAAATCAAAAGCTCAAACACATTATACGAATGGAAAACAACTTGTCGTAATCCCGACTTGGTACAGGCATTTCCTTATGTAAAAAATGGTTGAGTAAACCTCAATGATTAAACATTGAAATATGTTATTTTTCCTAAACACTGTAAAGATACTCGTAAGTGCATGTATTTTCTACCCAATTATATTTTGCTTTTCCACCAAGAGAAAAAATTAAATCATTTACCTATATCACTAAATTTAAAATAAACCATTATATGACTTGTTTTCCTGAAACTTCAAAGACAGAGTCTTCCCAATGTCTAGCTTGTTATAATGTCGATTTCCTCATATAGTCTTTGATGCTTGATTGTGATTTCTTGTGCTAATTTCCGGTTGTTGTGGCCACTTCCGTTTTCTTGATACCATGCACGCTAACAGCATGCTTTTTATATGCAAACCTAACAATAATGCTTTTCATGTTTTCATTTTCCGATCATCCTAACATGCTTGCTTGTTACTTCATTTCAAATCACCCGAAAACAACTCAAATTTGATTGATAATAATTTTGTAAGATCAAATTTTGTTGGGAGATGACAAATATAGAAACATAGAAAAAAAACCCTCTAACAACTACGTCTTGCGATCTACATCATCCAGGATCAGATTAGGCAAGTGTAAGGTTTAGTTACACAATTCTTTTTCCCGGAAATACCCATATAACATGTATCTTTATCCCATATATCTGTAATTCAGGTCAGGCCAGCAGTATAGGCAGTAACCCTCCATCTTATCCCGGTTTGCCCATCCTTGGAACAGTTGCATCACAAGTCGTTTTACAAGGACATAACCAATCAGCTATTAACGTGCCGTGTAAGTTTATATGAACACTTTTAAGTTATGTTTTCATAATTTAATACTTTAGAAAAACTCGACTGCTGGAATACCAAGGAAAGACTTCCCCCCAATGTTCTGAAGCATAGATGAATGACAAAGAATACGATCATTTCCTTATGTTTCTTTGATTTGTGTTATATAAATATCTGTAAATTAAATTTAGAACTTCCTTTCGTTTTGATAAAGCAGATGATTTTCAACTTTCAGCTTCATAAAAGTACTTTCTATAAATTATCAGTTTGACACCTTTGACAAATTGAATCATTGTAAACATATGTTAGAGGTTGTGAAACTGGCAACTTACTGTTGATTTTTTTGATATAGAAATAAATAATAGCAGACATGTGCAATCAAGATAAAATAAGATTTTTATTTACCGAAACCATTGTCAAGAAGCGTTCCAACCTGTCAGTTTTACAGTTCTGTTCATCAAGCACAAGACGGAAACAACATGTATAAATTTTCTATCTGTTCAAACTTTGAAGTTTATTAAAAGATATTTCATTTTGGCATTATATACTTGACCTGCTGCTAGTCTTAGAATGTGCTGAATTTTAGTTATTTTAATTTCATTTCATCCTATATTAGTCATTGTAGTCAGTAGAATAATTTTGCTAAAATTCTATTTTCCAAACCAGCGAGTGTATGACATGTTCAACGGGCTTGTAATTTGCAATTTCTTGTATGAATTTTGTTGATGTATGACCATTCGCGGATACTCATTTATCATAGCGCTGTTCTGGAACCTGCATGGTCCATAGTCTCTGAGCATTCATTAATTGTCTCATTAACGTTTGAATTGACTAATTCCAGCATAAAATCTTGACACAATAATTAAAACATCTTCTTTAACCTACTGTTTAGGGTTTTTCTTTTTTATTAATACTTATTTTGTTTCTACTTTTAAATTTTATTCACAAATTAGATGACTCTGAAACTTGGCTGTATTTCAGTTATCCGTGATCCGAAAAGAATATGCTAATATACTCAATATTAATTTGTGTTGTAATGAGACATTTTATTTCCTTTCCGAGAATAAGTCTTTAAAACAGCACTTAGTCAAAACCGAAATGAAATCGTCATGGTAATTATCAGGTTGTGTCATCAAAATTCAATGAAAACTGTCAGTCTGTAGGCAGGACAAGAATTTGATGCTATTTACATCAATTGCTACTCATCTTTGGTAATTGGCAATAACAAGCAGCAATGACTTCAGCACGCAAACTTGTTACCATTAAGATCGTTGTGTAGTAATTTATCTAGCAAATTACCTGGATATTAACAACAAAATAAAATGACAACACTGATTGATACATGAAAGCAACGATCGACGTTTTTCCGTTGCAATACTCTTAATAGACTTGAGAACTAACATATTCTGCTAATGGTCTCTGGAGTACATTTGTCACTGATAGAGATGGGTTAATAAAATTATCGGGTAGAAGTGAGACCTTCGCACAATGTTATCACCATAGTTGAGATTGCGTCTCAGAGGAACGTTTGATTTATATTTCAAAGCCATAGAACATGACAGGAAACAAGGTTCAAACAGAATAATGTTCAGTCCTCATCATTTTTTATTCAATATCTGTCTTGTTGAATTGAGTAATTATATTTTGATGTTTTATGTAAATGTAATGTTGTCCCATACATTTACTTCTTTTTAAGAAACTCGTTATTTGTTAAAGTATGAATATTTAGCAAAATTAAAACTACACTTGATTATACAGATAAATTTGCTTTTGCTTGAAATATTTATGTTGTTACCTTTAGCAATCAATTAGAAATTGCAATTTGATATGAAAGTATTTTAATTGATCACATCTTATTTTATATCTAATTTATTCTGACTGTAGTTTGGAATAGTTTTTCGCATATCAATCTAAAACAATATCAGCATATGAAAAATAAAACGCAAATTAAAAGGAGCCTAATGTTAAAAACTGTTTTCAGATAAAATCGTTATTTTATAAGGTAAATGAAGAAATGTGAAGCTCTGGGTGATATTTTTGTGATAATAATTGTCAGTCCTAAATCAATAATTTCCCGACAAATAAAAAACCATGAATGTAATATTCTGTCATCATCGAGATAGAGTCGTATTGGTATTGCGCGTCTCATAGGGATCGGATAGCGCTCAATCAAGACTCGATTAAGCCTATAACAGCAAGCCCTGTATTTATATCGAAATCAGATCGCTTATTTCTGCAATCAATTTAATCTATGTAGTCTGAAAGACCCCTAAATAATTGGCCTCTGAGGATTTCTAATAGAGTAACGGATCACGTTTTTTTTTCAATCTCGGCGATCGGTCGTTTGTCGCTTAATTGCGAACAACATTAATTTGTATAGTAGGGAATTTAGATGGAACAACTAATCAAACTCAGAACAAAATATTTCCTCTTCCATTCCAATAATCACGAATAACATGGGAGATATAATTAATAATTCTTATATATCGTACGTAACATGTAACGTATACACAAAATGATACGTCGTGACCTTAACAGAGTGAAGTTGAATGAGAATATTTCATTCATATTTTATTCACTCAGATGCAACTATACGGAACTGTACCCCAGACGTGCAGACAGATAGCTGATAGATAATTTTTTTCGGTATAAAAATAACTAGATTATTTTATTTTTCAAACTGGATTTTTTTAAAGTTGCTTAGGTTTTTCGTAATGTTTAAAACTAATGAAGCAGTAAAATAAAACCTGTCCTTAGTCAACAAAAGAAGTAATTGGAGAATTTTCAGCCTTTTGACTTTCTATGCTGAGGTTCTTGTTAATACATAAAAACAGGTATAATTGAACACCTTTTATGTTATCTTAAGATCTTGGATAAATTCTTATGGCTTTGTTCCAGAAGTATATCCCTTATATCGGCTGTTCTTTGGAATCCGTCATCTGATATGCCCCATGGCTTATCGTGGTAAATTTTAAACAAAAGACCTTACAATTAAGTTCCCTCTGTCACGAGAGATCTCTTCCGTCGTTTAAAAAAGACAAACAATACATGATTTAAACGATAAATCAACCGTCTGATAAATTGTCTTTATAAAATAAACTACATTTTTTCGAATGGAAAACAAAAGGAGTGCTTTATATGTGTACTGTGAATTCGGAGTCAAAAATAAAACATTTCCGTTGTCTTTGTGGACCAAAACTGTATATCTAGTAATCAGTTAAAAATTTAAAACTTATTAAACTTTAGTATTAAAAGGCATTTAAATTGAATGACAATTCTAAAAGTATTTGATATTTGTAAATAGTGTGCAAAGCAAATACGTACAAGATGTTATCATATGGTGTGTATGTGTTTTTCAACTTCCATCTTTGACTTTATTCGTACCTACTATTGTCTGTATTGTTGCCAAAGATTAGGCAAAGTGAGATAATGTACTTGTGATTAATACGTTAATACATATCATATCATCTTGTGTTTCAAATTTCTAATGATCATATATGCTTGAAATATATATTGAATTGATGGTGCTTAGACATATGTAACATGACTTATAAAAGATAGCCACATATCTTAAAATACTATACAGCATGACCTTCATAAGAGTATATTATATTGAAGTCAAAAAAATGGTTTAAAAAAGAAATGTTGAAATAGTCCATGGCATATATGTATAGCCTAAATTGTGATAATTTCTAATTTGACTAGAAATATATATATATATGTTGCCTTATTATATTTTCTATGTATCTGTATATTTTAGCTGGGAACCCAGAATATTATAATACAGTAGCTTACTCCCAGTACAATCCCACACCTTACACAGATCCCCAGTGGAGAGCCTATCCCACAGGTATCATCAGTAAGTGTGAACACTAAGCACAAAGTACAGTCAAAATCATTCTATATTCGTTTTCTTCAATTACGAATGTGTAAATACTTTTCATAAAAAAACATATTATATACTTTTAATTTCGATTTTGACTGTACATTAAGATAGAATGCACATGCCATTCACCTGATTGTTTATAAATTGCTTTTGTTTTTGTGATTTTTCCACATAGAAGTTCCAAAATGTAGTTAAATGTTTTGGTATGAGTTGATATTGGTGAATTTGAAAATTTATATATATATATATATCACTTTAATTTATTGACAAGTAATAACGGGAATGCACCACTTATCATTTGATTAAATGGCATTTCACACAATTTGTGTTTTTTCAAATGAAACATTTCAGGACACAGAAACAAAAATTGTTTTTTTATTAGAATAAGTAACTTTTGAGAAGATTGATTATTTGATGTTATATCAGGTAATGGATTGAAAGAAAATAGAAGCATTAGTATAAATTTAACTGAAATCAGTGCAACAAATACAAAAATTATTTCCTTAAACTTTAAACACTAGCTAAAGATTAAGAAATTTAAAAAATGCTGGTATGCATCTCTTACAAATTTGTGTTTACGAAATTGAAAAGTTGTTACAAATGAATTTTGAACTATAGTCTCAGTAAAGGATGTCAAATTAAATTTTTAACATTTTGTTACCAGTAGAAATAATAACATCCATATTTATTTAATATCATTGTTTTTTTATTAACAGACGCATCATACTATTACCCACCTGCAGGAGGAGTTCCAGCAAGAACTGAAAACAATAATACAGCTGCAGCAAGCCCTTCAAAGTCATAAAAAATGTGGAATCTAGTTTTTGACATTAGAATTTCATGATCTGCATGTACTGCTGTACACCAATTGACAGCAATAGGATTGATATATTCGTTAAAGTGTTGACTTGGTGTATAATGTTCATCAATAAAATATTGATATTTAGTGTTACCAATTGATTTAACGAATACGAAGGAATTTCATCAGTACATAACAAAGTGGATAACTTACCTCATTATTAGGAAGCCTGCTGAGTTGGACAGATTTTTTTGTGAATCTCAGAACAATTAAAAACATGACAATTTGCAATTTTATGTATTTATTATGTTTTTAAAAGACAATGACTTTATATGGACAGAGTGTTGAATTACATAGAAAGGTTACAGCATACAGATTTACAAACACATTAAAAACCTTGGAAGTATACAGTGTACAGATAACTGATCTCTGTTTTAGAAACATCAAAAGATATATGAGAACTGATTTCTTTATTTTAATTTATCACAGATAATTGATTTTGAACTGGATTCTTAATTTGAAATTTTGAACTTTGAATAGAGGAGGTATGATGAGAGGAATAATTTGACTCCTGATATGGACAATATAGTAAGATTCTTCAATCTTTTCAAAATTTTAGCAACTTTATGCATAAAAGTGTAGTGTGATTTAAACTGGACATTTTGTTACAGAACATTTGAAGGATGTTATTTGAATGATTTACAATACATTTTGAATTTGGAATTCAAGTGCAAAAATAAAGACTTATCATACCTTCTCCTTGAAAATAATTCATTGTGGTAATTTAAATGATGAATAATGCTAACAATTAAATCAATTTGAGAATTTCTAGAATGGTTACTTTTGGTTTTACAAATTGTCTTTTAACCCTTATTTTCATATTTATCTACTACCAGGTTAATATTTGATGTAAAATGTAAATTAGGACTGAGCTCAATGATGCAGTATTAGATGTTCAACACAATGGTAGCCATAGATATTCTAAGCATAATATGTATCGTATACTCATTTCTACATTTGCAATTTTGTTGTTTTTTTATAAATTTGTTTTGAATATAAATGCAATTTGTATCATGTAGAGCAACACAATGATAGTTTTAAAACATTTGTTTCATACTCATTCTGGGGGATAGTGAGACTTTCCATATCTATGTGGATGGACTTATAACACAAATGATCTTCAAACATAAACTTGAAAAGTAATACTTGAACCCGTACCTCAATGTACATAAGCAGGGTATAAAATGTGTGAGAGTGTTTGAAAGTGTGCATACATTGTATTAAAATCAAAACCTGTGTGCAATAGGAATCATTTTGTTATGTATAACCATAAACATATCAGACTTTATTTCCTGAAAAAAATTATTTTAGCCAGGATTTTTTTATGAATTATGAACTAATTTCTATTTTAAAATATTTTTACTCTAGTTTTTAAATAATCTCAAATAAAAAATTACAAATTACTCAATTTTGCAATAGAAATAAATCTGTATAAAACTATATTTAATAATTGTTTTGATATGCAGTTTGTTTGAGGGTAAATGGTCTCATAATCATATGAATTCATTTGTGTCTTGCCAGTATATTTCATTAACATTGAGAATCTCATTTTTTCATCACAATGATTTTTGTGGGTTAAATTGCACAGTAATAAAAAATGCACAACTTTCAAACAATCTTCAAATATTTTGTGAAATTTGATATTTTATAATTTCTAGAATGACTGAATAATGCAAAGAAAATAAAACATGTATAGTTACAGGGCTGTTCTCTAATAACCAGGGAAAATGGAGGAAAAAATAATGACAGTTAATTAAATTATATTATTGAATTTCATATTCAATGCCTGAGGTTTCTTCATCTGAATGCAAGTTTTCTTTCAGTTTAAAGGAAGTACCAAGTAAACTATTTTTTAAATAAATGTGCTATTTGTATGTGAATAACTACTAGAAATCCTATTTTTTGCACTTGTACAATGTATATGCAGAAGTGCTAGAACTTTTTTAAATGTATATATTTTGGTCAGGGTAAAGTGTGACCTTTACCTATATCAGATATTATATTATAAGAATTTATTGGTTCTCAAATTCGCCTATTATATTAACATGAAGAGGATATATATATGTGAACACCCAATGGCGTAAAAGTTTACCAATAAAGTTTGTTACATTGACTTTTTATCTTTTTCTTCTTGCGTTAAATAAAATAACTTCTCAGTATATTTATATATACATTATTATAAAGCAATTATGTTGTTCTACATATGATTTGGACTGTCCTGAAAACATCAGGCCTCACGTATATTGTGAGTTACCTACATTGCAGCGTAGTCAATAATATTGACATACTGCGGAAGATTTAGACCTTTTAAATTACTTTTCAAATCGTTCGGTATGTACTCGAAGACTTCCAAAGCTTTTGAAAAAATTACAACAGATGCACTTAACGAAAAGGTATATCAATGCATATATAAGTGACTTGCATGAATAAAAGACTATTACGTTTATGAATTTTAGATCCGTACCTTAAAACCTTAACTAATTGTAACAAATTTTCATCTAAACAGAAATGAATTTACTTTAGTGCAAAGCTACTGAACACAAAATTAGCATATGTTCTGAATTTTTAGGGTCTTAAAGAATGTACTCATTTCACTAGATCTGAATATCTTCATCTCAACATGACCTGATTTATTACAGTGCAAATATTTGAAATATGACTGGCATGAACAATTTTCTACGGTTCTAACATTGAATATAGAATGAACAAATGTCAATTAATTTTATATGCACATAATTTGATTTACTGAAATGTAATTGATAATATAAGCCTATTTGACGATTTAGGATAACGGACCCACTCATCAATCCATGCATTCCAGTTTTGATCATATGCCCTTTTCAAAAAGTTACCTGAAAGAACCTGGTTCATTCCTACATTTAAATACATTGCATGTCCAACCTTCAACAGAAAGCCAGAAAAAGACGTGAATTGTACCTTATGCACATACATTTACATTTTTAATATAGTTCTTTAAACACTAAGTCATATTTTACTTCTTACCTTTTTACAGTTAATGTTTTGATTAGTGAGTTGTTCAGTTACGACCCTTCAATATGAAGATTAGTTATTGTCTTATTTTTCAATATTTTTATTAAGCTGTATTACAACAAAAGTTTTTTTTTTCAAATCCATTAAAACTGTATTGCTAGTAAAAAGACGGGAATACTGGTACTGATTTTATTCTTCCGAGTTACATGTGGCAATTTGTACTCCAAAAATGACATAATCAGCCTCCTGCAATCAAGTAGTGTCATATTGTATCTGTGTACAGCAGACAGTCATCATATTGTATCATTTGATAGTTACATTACAAAGTCGTTTCATTTTGATTGGTCTAGGCACTCGAAAAGATATGTTTTATTTCCCGAAAAAAAAAATGCAACATATATAACTGCACGTGCTCTCCGTGGCCACGTTAATGCAATAAAAGGAAAAACAAATGAAAGGCTTACTTTAAATCTTTATCTCATGGTTAAAGCATAAAAATGTAATTCTAAAAATTGCATGATTCCTTTTGTAATTTTAAAGGGATGTAAAAGCGTTGAACATCCGCACATGTTCGCTTCATACACAATGTGCTTCGGTCAACGCTTTCACACCCCCTAAAATTACAAAAAGAAGCACCAAAATTTTACCTCTCATACCAGGCCTGAGAATTAAGTTTATTCTCCCTCAATATTGTGATTGAATTGATTAAAGAATACTATTCTAGGAGGGTGTGTATGGGGATTTACAGAAAAGAGAATAATGGGAAAAAATATAAAGAATAGAGAAAAATGGACCAAAAGAAAAAAGAATAGAGAATAATGAGGCGCTTAAATATAAAGAATAGAGAATAATGGGCAAAAAGTATAAAAAAAAACATATTAGAGAAAAATGGCCTAAAAAATTAAAGGATACAGAAATGAAGGACCCCCATCCATACCCTTTTCTAGAGTGAACATTTGAGAATCATAAATATATGACCAAAGAACCACTTGGCTACGAATATATTCGAACACTTGATCTGAAATTTTCATTGTTAGATCTACAAATTTGCCGAAGCAAATTTTGTCCATCAGTCTGCTGGATTTCAAACCATGATTCTGTTATACCGTGACTACACTGCTGGTACTGTGTTCAGCTTTCTAGACCTCATTGGCAACTATGATCTCCCAGTTTTCGTTTTCAAACATCGAACCCCGCTGCATGAGTAAATGGACAATGGAGAATGTCAGTCGCAAAGTTGTCACATATATTACATATTCAACAAAACCACATTGACATGACTTCATGTTTTGGATTCATCATATTTTAAGGATGACAAAACAGCTGATCTGGAAGGTATTGCATATAAATGCCACCGTGTGTGTACTGTGTTACAACCTGAGATAAAAGCGAAAGGAAAAGATGGCATCACTTGTTAAACAAAAGCTTATATGAATTATGAGTTTAAAAAAACGGAGAATTTTTTTGGATTGGTGTTTTGATTATACTAGTACTCTGTAAAGCGTTTTGAGGAATTGTTTTTGTCTTTCCGTCTTTTTTTATCATTATGTATGTGTCTTTATCTTACTAATGATATTGATTGTCCCTTCTATCAGTATTTTCTAGCTTTTAAACAATCTGCAGATATTTATAACACTGGTCACTGCATTCTTAGATCTTAAAATAAACAAAATAAGAGTGACTTTGATTTAGTTAATATGTATCCATGATAACAAAAACATAAAAACACGCAAGAAGGGGAGAAGATACCATCAAAATCGAAAGTCGAATAATACGACTAACACCATGGCTAAAAAGAAAAAAAAAACACTCCAAAGAAAACTAAAGATTGAACAACACGAACCCTCCCACAAAACGCGGATGAAATCACGTACTCCAGGAGGACAGTCAGTTCCTGCTACCAATCAGAAAACACACTTTCTGGCCTACATACTAATTTGATTCATCATGTAACCTTTTGTCAACAAGGTATTTTGTATAGTTCTGATTGGTCACTGGATTTCCTGTACTTTCTTTATAAAAATATCTAATGAGTGTAAAAGGTACTTTACTTCCTTGTGTTTAATATTTCTATTAATTTCTGTTTTAAAAGTAAATGTAACTCCTTCCCTTCTGCAGACACGTCAAACATTGCAAACTGTCTGAAGTCCTGTTGTATAGCGTGCTCGACTCGGAGTGCGGGAGTTCGTGGGTTCGATCCCCAGCCGGGTCAAATAAAAGACTTTTAGTATTTGCTTATTCACGCTTAGCACGCAGCATTTTGGAGTAAGAGCAAAGAAGGATTGGTCCGTAATCAAAATAATGTGACATATCTCCCTTTGGACTGTTACCATGTGAATTAACACGTTAAAAATTCGACTCAGCGCGCATGTCTGATACAAAGTAGGGTTCATATTCTGATCATATTAACATGTTCTCGTCCTGAATATGTTTTTAATATTCCAATGGACGTTAAACAGCTATCCATCATTATCATCAAACATTGCAACAATTCAAAATCTAAACAATTGAACGACAAAACAGAGGAAATTGATTTTCAAATGAAGATTGAAACCGTGACCATGTTAATTTCAATATTTTTCATCATATTTCAAATATTAATAAATGAGTTAACAGAATACTTAAACGCATATTTTAGAGATGTTTTTGACTTTTCAGAGAAAAAACTGATTTAAAACTGTTTGTCAAATTTTGTATTTTTATCTGATATTTTTCAAAAAAGAGAAGATCGTAAAAAATAAGTTTAATGATGAAATTAATGTTGCACTATATCTTTATTGCTGATCACAGGAAGCAAAGATCACAAATGTTTGCAAAAGTCATATAAACTAGAATTTAAAAAAAATCAAATGTGTGATTTTTTTCTATTGTGTATCATAATTGTTCGTCAATTCAACAGAAAATTTGTGGAATATTATTTTTGAATCTTTTCCTGATAATACAACATTAATATTGATTTTCAATTAGAAGGAACATATTACAAAATTCATTGGATTTTTACAATAGTTTTTTGCTTTGAAGATAAAAATAAAGTTAAACAAAAACATTAAAATCAGAACTTTCTACGTCATTTGGTCTCTGGTGGAGAGTTGACTCTTTGGTAATCACACCACATCTCTTTTTATAATGTTCGGTTTTCGTTTTTACTTAAATAAGTGTCCGAAGTTGCTTTTGAGAAAAATGTCATAGAAAGTGACAAACATATCTTGTTGTTTAAAACTGTATATCAAGGTTCAAATAAGCTACAATAATATCCAATGAATTAAAACTGAAAGTAAGTTGCTAAGCAACAATTATTATCAAACAAAAGGAAGATCTTTCCTTGCTATATATAAATATATTTATTCTCATGAAGCCGATGCACAACAGCGTTACAGAGATAAAAGGCACTGTTGTCACACAAATTACAGATCTTGATATTACTAAAATTAGTCCAACGATACATAGATCTCTGGAGGAAACACAAATTGACTGCTATCAAATAAGACGCCATAAAAAACTAAATTTTATAGGTAACCAGTATTTTGATTACGTAGTTTGTTGCCATAAAACATAGTTACCTGTTTTTGTGCATTTATATCATTCTGGTTTTCCCCATCTCTAGCCATTACTATGTTTCTGCTGACGTTTACCTGCGAAATGTGGTATAAAGAATTGCTTTAGAAAGTTACAAACTGTTCAGAATTACTTGAAAATATTTCATGAAAAATCGTACACGTAGTGAAAAAAAATGAGCAAAACATTACATATGCTGTTAATCTAATGTTTCGTATTTGTTTTTTGTTTTTTGTTTTCTTATCAAATGCTGCCGCATGTTTCGTCCTTTTTGGTTGAAATATCTTTCAATTGAAATCACGTTTGTCTTTTGTATGCCTTAGATTTGAGTCAAGATTTAAGTTTAATCTATATGATGTCATTTCTTTTCTCTGATCTGTTGAAAATGCAATGGAGCATTATACATGTATACCGATTTCTTGTAATATTCTTCAAAAATATTTGTTTCATTAAATGTTGAAAGGGATGAGAATGTTGTAGTATATAAAATATAAAGTAAAGTTATCGGACATGTAAGGATCAGACTACAGACTTTAAAACTGTTATTTGTTGCTTCTCCAGAAAGCAG